CGAAGAAAATGCACAGGATTCCTCCTCTACAAGATGTTGAGCACAAACCCTTATCAGGCTCCTTGAAACAGCTCTCAACAACGTGGCTGGGGCTACATCCTTCATAGGATCATAGATTTAGACCTCAAGGAAATTGAAACTCAGAGAGGTTTAACTCATTTGCCTACAGTCACACAGGGGGTATGTAGCAGAGCTGGGATTTGAACCGAGGTTTCCATGTTCATCCGTTTGTTTCAGATTCACATTAAAAAAAAGTTCAGTGTACATGATGCTCTCTCTGTATCTCTGTTCACTCAATGCAAAAGGAAACAGACAACTGACAATTACATAGCTTTCTGAACCAGTGTGGCCTTATTAAGTGTATAAGTCAGACTCCAAAGTAAAATTCCCCTTTTTTGCATGCATTATACATTTTGACTATTTACACAGCATAAGTCAAATCAGCAATTTGCCAAGTCTTTTTTTATGCCATGTTAGAGATGAACTATGTCTGCAAAAATGGTCAATTGCCAAATATTTCCAAATGCCCAGATACTAGACACTTTATAGAGCAAATTGTGAGGCGATTGACCATTTACATTCTTATCTAGAATTGAGTCCACACAGTCTTCCTGAAAGGGCACCTCAGTGCTTCCTGAAATTGATCTCTGTGTCCCTTCTTGTCTGTCAAGAGTCTGAGTACCTCATTTTATGCCTTACTCCCATTAGAACCTCCCCTGATAGATCTAACACCTGTCCTCTTCACTTTATCAGGAGGAAGTGATATCTTTAGGACTGTTTCTTCATCAGGGCTTCAAGCACAAATCTGTAAATCTCTGTCTACCCACAATGAGCAAGAAGCACATAGCTGCTTGCTCTGTCCTAGGACCACAGCTCACTATGGTTTCCCATACTCATTGGTCCCTATCTCTGAGTCTTTGACTATCTAGACCGTTTTAATTGATTGCCCAGTTGGCCTGTGATGGCTTCCTGATCCCTCCAAACTAGACCATAGGGACCTTAGATGCCATCAAGAGCAATTCCCTCTTTTTACGGATGAGGAAAATGAGGCTAAAAAGGTTAAGTGACCTGCATAGGGTTAAAGAGCTAGTAAGTGCCCCAGGTAAGACTTGAAACAAGACTTACTTCAAATACAACACCCTATCCATTATACCATATCACCTCCTCTTACTGCTCGGCTTTTTGCAGCCAAAAGTGGTGGTAGTGAGTGCCTGCTAAAACTTCTGTTGCTTGGTGGGACTCTAGATTCTCACCCCCTTTGCTATACCTATCTTGTTGCTGTGCATTGTTCTGCCTCTTTATTTTCATCTTTATTTTCATCTGGGTATTCTGGTACGTGGAGACAAAATCTTTTAAACAAGACACAGTAAAATCTGTTCTAAAGATGTGCCTATTTATATACCTAAAATGGACTGATCAGGTCATTTGAGCTATCTTAACAAATGACCATGTAATTGACTGACAGGTAATAATCAGTACTGATTACATATCAGGATGAAAAAAAATTACTTAACACATACAGTGCTTTAAGGTGTACAAAGTGTATTACATATATGATTTTGTTTGATCCTCACAAAGACTCCATGAGGTAGGAACTATTGTTATCACCATTTTGCAGATAAGGAAATTGAAGCTGATAGGGGTTTGGTGACTTGTTGAGAGTCATATAGCTAGTAATAAAAGGCTGAGATCCAGAACATCTACACAGAGCCCAAGCCTTGCCATGTGGAAAATATGGTTTGACCTCTTGATCAAGAAAACCATATTCTAGAGACTCAAGGGAATCATTCAATGGAGTCAATATAATACAAAGAGGGGAAAAAAACCATTTAATTAGTCCATGTAGACAACCAAACCAGATCATTTAGGCCTAAAAAATTCCATATTTGTGAATGAATTATGTAAGCTGCCTGGGTGAGTCCATCAAAGAAAGTAGATATTTGTTCATTTTCTACTCCACTTAGTGCTGAGAAGACAAAGCCCTGATCGCTGATTTGGGACATCCCCCTGGGCCCTCTGAACTATTGGGCAGACAAAAGCAGCAGTGATGATAATAATGACTCTCAATATGAAGGGGATTTCAGGGCAAGGAGCTATGTGAGCCGATGAGATTAGTATCATATATTCAGAATACTGACATATTTGGGTTCCTGCTTTAACACAAGTCCATTCTCACAAAGAGAAAGTCTGTTTGGGTACTCAGACTGGACCTTTATGCAGGGAGGAAGGGTCTCACTAAAAGAGTGGATCATTTTCAATTGTGGCCTCAAACCAACATTGGCAGGGACCCTGGAAGACTATTCCCTGCTGTTCATATGGTCGTTTGAACAAACCGTAAGAAATCATTCCACCCAGTTTCCTGTGGGTTGGTTCTGTGGCCATGAATATAGATTCATTCTAAAACTAAAATTTTCCTGTAGCACATTTTAGAGGTGATGTGTGGGAGGAAGTAGAAAGTGTACGGATTTGGAGTCACAGAATCTGGGTTTGAATCCCAGTTCTAATGTTTACTACTTGTGTGACCTTAGGTAAGTAATCAGTCTCTCTGGGCTGCAATTTCCTTTCTGGAAAATGAAAGGGGGGGGGAAGAGGGAATAAGCATTTATTAAGTGCCTACTATGTGCTAGGAACTATGCTAAACACTTTACAAATATGATCTCATTTGACCCTCACAACAACCCTGTGAGGTAAGTAAAATGATCCCCATTTTATAGCTCAGGAAACTGAGGCAGATAAAGGTAAAGTGTGACTTGCTCAAGGTCACAGACTTAAGTGTCTGAGGTTGGATTTTAACTCAAGCCTTCCTGTCATTAGGCCCAGCAGTTTATCTACTGTAGCACCTATTTGCTGGTTTATTTCTGAGGTCCCTTCCAGTTCTAAATCCCATAATACTCATCTGGGTAACATGAAAGTACAGCCTTACCTTTCAATGCATTGCTTGTGCAAATGTATCACTTTTCCTTAAAAACCAGAACACTGCCAACCCCCAGAAAGGTAACATTGTCCCTCTTGCCTTGACTATGGAGCAACCCCAAACTGGAGAAGGTGGAAAGACAAAGTACAGAACGATTTTCAAACATGAGATCTTGATTCCCTCTATATAGCTGAGGCTCACTTTGGAAGTCCTGTTCGTGATACATCCTATGCCACCTCTGAGGGGGCAATAGAAGGAGGGCTGACTAGGGTCTGCAGGACAACCACAGAGCACAAACACAATTACCCTCTCATTGGAACACATGGCCAGAAGAAAAAAGGTGACTGCCAACAACCTCGTCTTCAGACAAGAGGATTCATCAGGGAGCTGAAGTATGTCATTAGGCGCAGAATGACATGTCTATTGCTTGTGTGCACAGGTGTTCCTTTGAATGGAATAATGAGGATATAGAGGATAACAGTGCATTTAGAACGTTAAGGGCAGAGTCAATGTGAGTGTGCACATGATGTCATTTTTCAGCTGGCACTGCCAGCGCTTTCAAAGCACTTTAAAACTCTAGTTACTATGGCAACTTGATGAAGCTCTTAAAAGGAACTTTTTTTTGGTTATTTTGTATCTTTAATCACCATAACAACATAATATAGCTTTTAAAGTGTATTTTTATCCAATTTGTGTTTGTCTTAGACATTCTGCATTTGCCTCTTCCCTTTATGAAAAACACATATAAAGCATGACACATGAAAAATTATCGCAGGGAAAGGAGCCATTACAGCCTGTGTAGATCTATATATCTATACCTATACATGTATAAAAATACATACATATAGACACAACCCAGATCCATCCATCTCTTTAGCCCCCAAAACAAACTTTTTGGTTTGTTTATATCCTGCATAGAGAATCTTACAAAATTAGTCACCAGTCCATTCCCCTGCCTCCCAGCAGGCCGCCACTGGCCCATCCCCAATCTTCCCCAAAGACAGAGATGCTACAAGTTCCTTTGCCTACACATGCCAGTGTATCCCACCCTTCAGAAACAGCAAAAGGCAGCAAATGAGCAACTCGTGATGGTTGGTCACATTTTTTTTTAACTGCAGTGAGGATCCTTCCCATTGGTCACTATGCAACATCAAGGAACCACCCCTCTCCAGAACTTATGGGACAGAGGTGAAGTTCCACTGAATTGAAATAGAGCTGTTTCTGCAAAACTCTTTGAAGAGGTGAGTGATGAACACAGCAGCTGCCAACTACACTTCCATGTAACAATTGAACATAGGGTATATGGGAAAGCACTGGGAAAGTTATGGGGGAAGAATAGAAGAGGGGTGAGTGATATGAGCTGAAGGAGTTTGGGTAAAAAATAGAAGGCAAGCAAAAAGAAGGAAAGAGTATCAAGAAAGTTAGAGAAGAAAAGGCTAAGAGAATGGACAAAGGTACAGAAAAGAGAAAGAAGGCGATGGACAAAATGAAGGAACTTGAAACAGAAGCAGAGTATAAAAATGTTTGCTGATCAACATTTGTGATCTTACAAAGTTGAAACTTTCATATTTAATAAATGGAAAGAAGGAAAAATCAGTCTATTAGAAAGACAGGGCTGAGATAAAGGATTATAAAGGGAAGAGAAGTGAGAAAGGAGAAGAGGAAGGCAATAGAAGAGGGATAATAAGAGGAGGAGAAGGAGGGATCAAGGAATTCTCAAGCTGAAAGGAACTTTAACTCCATTTGCTTAAAAAAAATTCATTTTACGAATGCGGAAACTGAGGCCCAGACAGACAAACTAACTTGTTTCCAGGCCCTGACTCCTGACTTCCATGTCAATGCTCTGCACCATGCAGGAAGAGGGGAAAGGATTAGAAAAGGAAAGAAGGGAAAGGAAGGGTCGGGGAAGGAGTAGAAAGGGGCTAGAAGAAAAAAGGGAAAGGGAAAGGAAGAGGAAACAACAAGGCGGAGAAAGGGGGCAAATGAGAGGGGAAAGAAAAAGAAGACAGGAAGAAAGAGGAAAGAAGAGAAGAAATGATGTGGTGAAAAGGAAAAGAGGGAAGGGATTACCGCGTGTGTTCCTTACCTATAGTTGACACCACGGTGCCCACGAAGTAGAAAGCTCCGGTGAAGTCCCAGCGCGGACGGAGAGCGTCAGCTCGGATACCTGCAGCCAAAGCAGCTTCATAGTCTCGAAGGAAAGCGAGCAGCTCCTCCTCGCCCACGCCGTGCGCCGCGCTGAAGTTGCGCAGCGTCGCGCCCCAGCGCTCCCGCGCCGCCGCCTCAGAGGGACTCTCCAGCGCAGAGAAGACAGTGGCACCAGCCACCAGGTAGAGGCCGATGAGCGCGGCCAGCAGAACGAAGCGGCCAGTGTCCTCGTTGAGGTGAGAGCGGCGGCCGCAGCAGCAGCAGCAGAGCAGGAGGCGGCGGCAGCGGCGGGACTGGGGCCGGGGACTCCGGGCTGACATGGTCCGGACCTCAGCCCCTCGGGGGTAGCATGCTCGGCTGGAGGCGATGCATCCCCCCAGCGGGTCGCACGGAAAGGATCCCGCCCGAGGAAGAAGGAGAGCAAGGATGGTGACAATAGGGCTGGGGAGAGCCGAGCCTCACCCCGTCTTTCCAGCCTTCCGCAGAGCCCCTAAACACCACCCCGAAGGGCCAGTCGGCTGCTGCCGGAAGGGCGGCTCCCGCCGTCTCCCCTGAGCCTCTAGGCACACAGCGGAGTTGACTGCCCCTTCTGCTCTGGCACAGGGGCTGTGATTTGCTTTGAGCGCTGCGGGGCCAGGATACCCGTCTCAGACCCCCGACGCCTGATCAACTCACCACTCTCCTCTTCCTCCTCCCTTCGGCTCAGGACTATCCAGCTAGCTCCCTGCCGCCCCGTGGCCGGGACCCGCTGATCTCCGTCCCTCATACTCCTCTCTGGGGAAGCCACAGAGCTGGGGGCAGGGAGGAGCTCCTTACTCCGGGACCCGACTCCAGGCGCCTAGGATTGTGAGGCGGCAGGTGTAGGAGAGAACCCCCAGTCACGTCCCATGAAAGCAACCCAGCAAGCCAGATGCAGCCTTCGGAGGTTCCTTGGCTCTGGCCCTTTCTCTCCCTTGCTCGGCAGCGGGTTTAGAGCCGGCAGCCAAGCAAGGTCCAGGGAAAAGCGTCCTCTACCTTAGCTCCTGGCTGGGAACTGCTTGGTGTAGAGAGGCGGAGTCACCCGCGCCTGGGGCGGGGTGTGTGTGGGAAGAAGGGGTGGGGGGAGGAGGCAGAGAACTAAGCTGCAGTGAAGCCTCCCTGTCCTCGTGCCCGCTCCACACTGAGTACCTGAGTATTAGAACAGGTGTCTGGCACCTCTGGCCGTCCAGCCCTCTCGGGAGCTACTCTCTCCACTTCCTTTTTGGTCTCTCCACTGACCTCCACTGGTGGTCTCAGAGCCAGCCTTGGGGGCCCCTTGCGGACTTTGGAGGTGGGACTGGGCGGATGGGTGTGGGAGCTGTTATCCTGCAGACTTCTTGCATTCAGAGACAAGGTCCAAAGTTCAATTTATCTTCTCCCTCCCTTCTTCCAATTTTCTAACCCGAGTGACGGTGCAGAGAGACTGCCAAGCCAAAATTTTTTGGCCCGTAGCCTGGGGTGACCTCTCTCGCGGTTTAGTCCGCTGATGGTGGGCTGCCCTTCCTCTAGAAGCGAACACCCCTCTGAGAGCTCGCGGATACTTGCGGGCTGCGTCTTGCAAAGGCACCCAAGACATGTCAGGTGCTAGGGCTTGTGCCTTCCACCCTTCCTTCCCATTCCTATGCCCCAGACCCAAGCTTTACCAACTCTTTCTTTTCCTGAGTTCCGCCTAGCTTCAGTACCGCGGACAGCGCAGCCGGTGGGGCAACAATCTCCCGCTGAATCTGGACTAGTCCCTCCCCAGACTCCGCCCTTTCTAACTCCACTCCTTCACCTACGTGTCCCTACTGCCCTAGGATCTGAGAGCTGGCTAGAGCAAAGGAAAGGAATAGGAGCTCGGCGGGAGGTGATATGTGTGGCGAAGGCAGGCTAGGATTTAGGGCCTGACTGTGGGGAAAGGAAGGGAAACGGGGTGGTGAGATGGCTACAGAGTAGGGAGTGGGGAGGTAAGGACGGTTGGACACCACCCTGCCCAAACTGCAGACACCCAGGAGGAAGCCCCCTTTCCATTCCCGGTCAGATTGGGAATGGGAGCCTAGAGTCAGCAACGGCGGGAAGAGAAGGAAGTACTGCCCAGGTTCCCAGCCGCAGAGCCGGCACTTGGAGGCGGGGGTTCCGGGGTGTGTGTATGGTGGTGGGGAGGCTGGGAAGCAAAGGAGGAGAAAAAGGCGGGTGCGCTCTAGCGCGGTGTTACGAGAGTTATCGCCCCGCCCTTCCCCTAGGGCTCTCCGCCTTCAGTGTACCCTGAACCTCAGTGTTCAGTGTCTGGAAAGGCAATCTTCTATCTGCTCCCCAGTCCCCCTCACTTTCTTAACCCTGAATCAGCCTGGCCTTCTTCGAGCCGGGGCCAGGGTCAGGAGTAGGCAATATAGAGCAACCTCTGCTAACAAAGTTATATTCTGAATGGATTTAGCCCCTGGGACAGAAGCGAGACGACCTCCTCCCCCCACCCAGAAAATTCCATTCCCTGCTCCTTTTCTCCACCTTTCCCTCCAGCCCTCCAGAAGGATAAAAATACAACAAACAAACAAACAAACAAACAAAACCAGTCTCTGAGACAGCAGCCTTGCCCTAGAATGCGGTCGATTTGCGGGCTAGAGGGAAAGGGCTGCAATCCCAAGGTCAGCTGATGCCCCAGGCAACATCCTCTTTCCCCACTCTCCCCCTCCCCCGTCCCCTTTCCTGCTTCTGTCCTCCAGCCCAAATCTGGCTTTTTCGAGCTGCAGCCAGCATTTCTGGAAAGATCCTGATCCGATACACCCCGATTTAGAGCAAGACTCCTTAGAGCGAAGCTCCTTAATCAAGGTTGGAGAAGATAATTTGCTCTCTACGTGGACTTCCTTTTAGAGGTTCAGTAGTGGTTCGGGTGCAGGTCATTTTTGTACTGCAGGAGGTAATATGTTGGATTAAGAGACACACTCCTTTTAGCTCTTACCTCTTCCCAAGTTCCACTCCAGATGCCACTGCTATGGGCTTTATGTTATTGATTCTCAGGCTGAAAGGAGCAGGACCCATGCCTCATCAAAATTTGAACATTACTGCATTTTCTCCCTCCCCTCATTAACAAAAATAATACCTTTCATTGGTTTAGTGCACCTAACTTTTTCTACGTGCTTGGTAGAACAAGTATCATTATCTCCATTTCATACATGGGTAAACTTGGACTCAGAAAATTTGGGACTTGTCTTAAGATGACAAAGCTGGTTTTAGATCTCTGGTCTTCTGATGATCAGCTCCAGTGTTCCTTCTACCTCTAACCTAGGCTTCTTTGATTTCAAGCCCCTGTGGTGTTGTTTTCTCCCACTGGACCTCACTGCTCTGCCTGGTAGATCATTGGAGGTGTGGGCATGTTCTTTTTTCAGATCATATGCATCCTACATGCCCATAATTCAAATATCCCAGCTATAACTGTCCTAGTCTTGAAAGAAACCAATTCTACTCATTTCCATTTCATAGATGGGAAACTAGGTCAAGGCTCCTTGTTCTCTTGCCCAGGCAAAAATGTTCAAAGGTTCCAGGTATTAAGATCTAGGCTTTTACCAGGGCTTTCAGTAGAAGATATTCTCTTATCCCCTTTTCCCCTCCCTCCCCCCCACCCAACTCAATGTGCATTAATTTTTTGAATGCCTGCTATGGATGACCAAAGTCAAGATGTCCTTGCCTCTACTTCTATTTATCACTACTCTTCAACCGGCATAGGACTCATTTAAAATATTAATGTGCCTCACTCAGCAAACTGATTCTCTGGCTGCATGTGGGGTCTGGCCAGGAGCTCCCACTGTTCACTAAAAACAAATGTGCTGTTTTTCACATTAGTTTATATAAATTAATTTATTATTTATTAAATATCATATTTATTCAAATCTGCCCTTGCCCAGCCATTAAACCTTATGTTTGTCTTCAGTCCCCCCTTATCTCAGGCCTGTTTCTGACATTTGCTCCTGTTCTTTACAACTGGCCACCCCTTTAGAATATCCAGCCCCTGCTAGATGTCTTTGACTTGATCCAGCCTAAAGAAAACTATTCATTTGGTTTAATTTCTGGTTGTCCAAATGTTTACAGCCAGGATGGGTTTTCACTGGGTACTGTACTCAGGATGTCATAGAAACACATCAAAGGATAAAAGCAAACTATTCACATGTTTGTAAAGACATCTGAGAAAGGTCAAGAAGGAGGTGAAATTGCCCAGTGTTTCTGTAGCTATTGGCACAACCCTTTCTCCACTTGGCAGAGTTAGCTGCTTTGTCCTCCAACTTGCTGTCCTGGCTTGATTAGCAACAAATGCCTGCTATAAATCTTTCCTATGGATGATCTAATCAATTTATGTAATAGGGAAATGATTAGTTCTCTTTGAATGTTCAAGGGTTTTTAAAAAAACCAACACCATGATAAATGTTGTTTTTTGCCTGCTGAAATAGTACTGAAATATTGAACTTTCCAGCCAGTTAAACTCAAAAGTTTATTCGCTTCGTGTCTGGCTTATTACAACAACAATCGAACAAATCTGCCCCAGGTTTCTCTCTCCTACGACTTATTTTGCATGCTGCCACCAGATTAATTTTCTTAAAGCTTGGCTTTTATGGTGTACATTCTCTTGCTGCAAAACTTTTAGTAACTACAGGATAAAGTCTAAATTTATTACCTTTTGTTACTCCACTAAGAATCTTTTGCTCTAGGGGCCTCATTATCACCCAAATATGGCCTGCCATTTGTCAATGTGAGAAGTCTTCTCTTGGGAACTCCATCCTTTGAGGCAGATAATACTTTCTATAACTTATAGTCTTAGACAGTAGCATGAGGCTTAGAGAGAATAAGTCTCCTGACTCCAAGTGGAGAACTCTATCCACTACCTCTCATCATAAAAGTACTCTTGCTCAAATTCATCTTCAAGTTTTGCTCATTTGGTGCCCCTTTCCTTGAATAACTTTCTTTCCCCTCCCCCTTTCAAATCCTACCCATTCTTCAAAGCCCATCTCAAGTTTCATCTTCCCATGAAACCTTTCTTAACCATTCTATCCCTCACTGGTCTACATCTTCTCAGAATTCCTATAGTACTTTCTGTGGGTATCATTCATTTGTCAATTATACATTACCTTTTATTGTTATTTAAAAGTTTTGTGTGCATATAGCTTATCTCTCCAACTAGATTGTGAGCTACCCAAAGGTAGAAATTTCATTTAAGAGATTTTATATCTACTTTAGTACCTTTACTACTTGGTCCCTCATATATAGTAGCTGCTTGGTAAGTATTTGCTAATCAATTAGCAAGGGTTTATTAAATATCCACTATGTGCCAGGAGCTAGATACATAGCTAGGTCCCAGGGATACAAAACCAAAAATAAAACAGTCCCTACCCTCAAGGAGATTACATTCTATTTGGGTGGGAGGGGGAAGACATGTATACATGTAAACATGTACAATTAACATGTATGCATGTGAATACACACACACACATACAGTAATTTGGAGAAAGAGGGAAACACTAGTGAGGGGTGAGGCAGAGAGGGTGAATCAGGACAGTCACAATGTGGTTCTTGAGCTGAACTTTACTCATTGTAGACCAAATATTGAGATCAGGGAGACAGCCAATGGTGAAAGAAGTTGTTCTAAGGGGAGATCCAAGGACATTTTGGGCAAGACTCATGTCCAGCTTCCCTGACCACACAAGGATAGTACATGGTATCTAAGGACAGTACCGATGGAGTCATCCAGGAAACTACATGGGAGAAGCCCAAGTAAGGCCATAGACCATGTGTGGCAACAATAAGACATTTCCTGAAAAAGAAAGAATGCTGAGAGATCTTGATCTAAGAGACTAGTTGACCTTTAGGGGAACCCATAACAGGGTGAGGAGAGAATATGTAGACTTTGGTTGGCAAGGCCACATACTGAAAGGTAATGGGTTCTAGTTGAAAGAACATCAGACTTTGAGTGAGAAGACTTGGGTTCAAGTCCTGACTCTGAATGATCCTGAGCAAGTAACTTAGCTCCTCTAAGCCTC